ACCCTGACCATCCTCTCCGATTTGTGCTTGATAGACAGCAGAGCTCCTTCTCTAAAAGATTTAGACAGCTTCGTTGCTGTAAAGCACATTATAGGAAATCTTTCCTGCCTTACTCCATTAATTTGTACAACACATCATCTTGGAGCATTAGACGATTCCTGGATTGACAGTAATTGTATACTGAATCACCTTTGTATAGATTTGCATATGTTTGATTCATCATGTGATTATGTATATGTACTTGATTGTGTTGGGTTTGTTTTTAACTTTTAATGTATTTTTATTTGTTTTATATTTTAGTGGGTTATCTATTCTATTTATTGGTATGTGTGCTTGATATTGAGTGTGAACTGCTGCTGAAACAATGCAATTTCCCAGATTGGGATTAATAAAGTATTTCTCTATCTATCTATCTATATCAGGAGTGTTTCACTCACGCCACATCGATCTTGCCATCGGGCCTCTTGGTGGCTCCCATGACTTTGGTGCTGAGCTTGAACTTGAGGCCCTGCTTCTGCAGGATGCGCTGGAAGTTCTTGGAGATCTCCATGTCGATGCCCATGCCGCCCACATGGCCCAGGAACTCCACCGCTGTGACCGTAGCACCCAGACGCTGCCACACTGACCCCTGCAGGGTGGGAGGACAAACACTTGTGACTAAGGACAGATTCAAGCTCTCCACAATAAAATAAAAACTGTGAAAAGCCAGGACATGTTCTAAGATCATTTGGGCCAATTCACTGAAATTCCGAATCAGTGAACCGAGTGACTCCAGTTAATATTTAACCCATCACTATGTCTGTTGGTGACTCAAAATGAAGTGATGCTGACCAGCTCCACGCCAATGACTCCAGCTCCGATCACAATCAGCTCCTCTGGCACTTTCTTAAGGGACAGAGCTCCTGTTGACGACACAATGGTGTCCTCATCAATCTAGGAAGGAAAACAAAAAAACAGGAATTGATCTCGTGTTTTGGTGAAGTACAAGAACAGCAGTGAGTCTCCCATTAACACCTTCATCTTTCTCTTGTTTGATAAAATATTACTGCAAGCTGAAATTCCAGAGTTGTTCTATATGTTTAGCCTGGATTTCCAGGCTTTAAGCAGCGAAGCACAGCCGTACCTGGATTCCAGGGAAGGGCATGACCTCGGAGCCGGTGGCAATGAGGATGTTCTTGGTGTTGATGACCTGCACGCTGCCGTCTTCCGCTGTGGCCGTCACCTGGTTCTTCCCAGTCACCCTCCCAAAACCGCTGACATGGGTCACCTGAGGGCAGTGATGTCACCATGAGCAGGTTGTGAGTAAGATGCAAGTTAACAACCATTAAAACTGAAGGGAGACAGAGTCTGACTTTGTTCTGTTTGAAAAGATGCACGATTCCTCCGGTCAGCGCTTTGACCGCCCCGCTCTTCTGAGCCATCATCTTTTCCAGGTTCAATGAGAGGCCTGAAACTGAGGAACAGAGTTGAATAGAGACCCGCAATCAATTAAATCAATCAAAATAAAAAATATCTGCTATAATGATGTTTTCAGCCTCACAACTATGAAGAGTTACTGCTTCTCTCTGTTGTAAATCATTAAAAAAACCTGATCATGTCTGCGGCTTGTTGGTCTGACAAAACAAGTCATTCCAGAGCTCTGGGAAACTGAGGACATGCTCACTATGTTCTGCCTCGTTACAGACAGATGTTGAGATGAGGACACTGGGCTGAGCTACAGAGTCGTCTTTGCTCCTGCCAGATAATTGGACAATAAACCTCAGTGCAATACCTGTAAATATACCTCGTACAGATTATACAGACTCGAAACAGGTCTCTAGTTCTTAAGTACTCTGTTTTATCCCTATTTTTCTCATTTCAATGAATATTCCTTGTTGTCTGCATTGTTTACTGTCTGTTTATACTGCTTTTTCTGCATTGTTCGCACTGTTTGTTGATGTTAATACTGCTATCTTGTTATATTACACCCTTATGCTGGTCTACTGTTTGCACATTGAGAGCCGATGTACTAGAGTCAAATTCCTCTTGTGTCTGTCACACCTGGCCAATAAAGCCGATTCTGATTACAATTGTCAGTCATGGCCAATAAAGCTGATTCTGATTACAATTGTCAGTCTGAGCCACATTAGGGACAAGTGTCCATCTCTTACTTTCGATGCCTCTGCTTTCCAAGTCTTTGCCGTGAGCCAGGTGGTAGAGGTACGAGTTGTTTAGTAGAGCCTGCAGATGCAAAACTTCAGTTAGATTACATGGATTTTTATACAGATCTGTCATTTGTCCTGGATGTCATTTTATGTGTCCTTTAACTTGGTTTGTGTTTGTTGTTTAGCCTGGGTGGAAAACAAATTTAATTCTAACAATATGTACAAGTAATCATCACATTTACATCACAGCTAAAGTCAGATTTGTCTAAATCTGCTTTATAAGAAACTTAATTTGTGGGTTAAACAGAATCTTTACCATTTTAACTGAATACGGTGGGACGGATCTGAACAGGCAGGTTATGGGACACCTTGACTGTTCTGCAGACTCAACAGATCTCACATCACTATACACAGAGACAAAGCAATTTGACTGGGAAGGAATCCAGTTCATTACCTTGGAGGGGATGCAGCCGACATTCAGACAGGTCCCCCCCAGTGTGGGGTTCTTCTCAACACACACTGTCTGTCAAAGGAAAAGTGTTGGACACATCTGCATTAACAGGTTTTGCCCTGCAAAGAAAACCTGCATTAATCACTATGAAGCACTTTTCTCCTGAACTAGGATCAGTCCATTTGTGTCAAACACATTTCAGACAAATGTTTTTGCAGAAAAAGGTACAAAAATATGTTAAAGATACTAAGATGAGCACATTTACGTTGAAACATTCAAATAAATTTACAAAACGGAAAAGAAGAAACCAAGGGAAGCTGTTATAAATGTGACTTTTTGCTTTCCATGGGTGAAGTCATTTACAAAACTACAAACTGAGCAACAGAAACATTGCACACTGACTAAATTGATCATCTTTAATAAAATTAAATAAAAATGAACATTGCCTTTTGCAACATGAACATGACAATATTCGACATTTATCATGAGACAATAAAACGGTTTCTTCACTCCAGAGATCTAACACCTATCTATTCCTTTCATATCGCTGGCTGAATGCAGTCAAGCTGTAAAATCAATAACTACGACTTTATCAATCATTTACTGGACTTCTACATTAAGGAGAAGTCGTGCCCTGATTGGTCAACCATTTAATTCTCCCATAAACAGGCTCCCCCGTGTGTTGTTTTGTGTCTAGCACTTTCATTTTACTTTCCAGGAAATATCATGTTTTCCATCAGTAGTGCAATATAAAATTACACATACAGTAACAGAAAATTTTATCCATATGATCTACCCCTAAACAAACAAATATTTGTTTTTTTCCAGTTAAAAATGAGGAAATTTCCCAAAAAACACATACAGTGCCACCTCTGGCAAATTCTGGCCACCTGCAATTTTCCTGAATGTTTAGAGGCCCTGAAGGCAGCTCACCTTAAAACCAAGCTGTGCGGCTTTGATGGCAGCGACGTAGCCGCCTGGACCCGAGCCCACCACCGTGACGTCTGCATCAACTACACAGAGGCAGCACAGCAGCTTTATCAGCAGCAGCTCAGGGCACAGAGACATCATGTAAAACACAGCCCGTTTTAACTTGAAAGACCCAGACTGACGCAAGAGACCTAGGCTGGTGAGATCAGTGCTTTGGCTTGGCTTTTACTGTGAAGTAACCACAGGAAGTCAGCAATAGTGACAGCAAGTAGCTTGGTGTAGGATGGTGAAGCGAGTATTCAAGGTGTGACACGTTTTCATTGACCGATGTTATAACAATTTTGTTCTGCGATGCTGCTCACACTGAATTTACAATTTAGACTTTTTTCAGATTAGCTACTTTAATTTCCAGACTATAAGCTGCTACTTTTTTCACTTCATGCACACACCCTCATCATGGAAAACACACGACGAAATGCATATGATGCAGCTTTCAAGTTAGCGGTGATCGATCTGGCTGTCGAAATATCTCATGTTACAATGTGGACACCTGCGGCTATGTACAAACTGTTTTTTTCATTTTAAATTTAGTGGGTGCGGCTTATATTCAGGTGCGCTCAGTCTGGAAATTACAGTAACTACTCTTATGTGAGTATATTAAATGATAGAAAATAGTGGTTGCCTTAATATCACCTTAACAAGAGCCCAAGAATTCAATATTTAGACATTTTTATCAAACATTAGATATTTTAAAGCCTTTTAAGGAAACAATTTTCTATGCTTTTCAAGACTTTTCCAGTCAGATACTGTCACACATGCTGCTGCAGAACAAATCTCTTCTAACAAGTAGCTCCAGTGCTGCTAAACAAATATCAAACATGGCTGAAATTCATGAGGACACAGCATTAATGAAGGGAGATGATAAGATTAGCAATTTTCTTACTTGCTGCTTTGTCCGAGTAGGTTCTGATCGACAGAGCTGCGGCTCCGTGAAGTTTGCAGGGGAGGTGGTGGCTCCGCTGTGAGGAAAAGCCAGAAAATCTTTAACCACGCAGTCAAACACACAGACCTGTTTTCACATACTCAAAGACTACACTGATCTTGAATTCACTCCAGAGACAAAAAGCAAACATTACAACCATTTCTCTTATTTACCAGATTGCTTTCCTGCCGATGGTTTATTAATCTGAGAGCAACTCAAAAGATTTCAGAGAATGAAAGCATCCAAATGAAAAATCAAAGCAGTTCCACATCTAATAATCTAACAGTGTGTGTGTGTGATCTTCATTTACTGGACTTTGAGTGACCGCCCAGGTTTCAGGTTAGACTGCTTGTTATGTGTTTTGTTCACTTCCTTGACTTGTTCAGTGGCTCAGATACACATTGAACTTTATCACAATGAAAACAGACTTTAGGGAGATGCGGTGTTCACCATGCGGCTGTCAGCATCACTGTCATTAAACTATGTATGGGAAAGTCTAAATTAAGGAAGTTCAAACTGGCCAATGCAATTGACATTTTCACTGTTCACTTTAGGTTGGTGTATAATGAACACACTTCTTTGACGGGGTCACAGCACCTTGCACTGAACTGCTGACCCCTTCACTTTCCAAACTGACTGCGAGACATTTGCAGATATTTAATGAAAACCATTCTACTCTCTACTCTCTATCTCTCAGTGTTTACTGGGTCACAAACCCAAACAGAACATTTTCACTCCCGCGATTAATAAGCAGGGTGCCACAAATACTCAAGTTATTCCTATTCTTTGGGTTAGTTAATTTCTTATTACCGACTAATTGGTGGTCAAGTTGTTGCAATTATCCTTTGTATCTCTTTTCTATGTCTATTTCCTGCAGGGAGTGAATTTAGTCCGTTTTGGCCGTACACATTCATCTGTCACTGCTGGTATCGAACCAGCAACTACACTAAGCAGGCACTGGCTAGATAGTAAAAAAAAAAGTTTGGGTGCGAGCCCGTATATCTAAAGGCGACGATAACGAATATAACGTTAGTTTCACAAAACAGAGGGATAACGTCAACTTTACGGCTACAAACCGTTAAGTTGCTGAGCTCCTAACACCGATTACAGAGTAAATGCTAACTAGCTTAGCACGCCAACAGCACTTGTAGGGATAAAACTGCCAACTTAAAAGCCAGTTAGCAAGTTACACCTATTGCGTCCAGTCCTAGTAACATTCTTCAACTTAGAAATATCACGTCTCAAAATGTTTACAACTCGTTTGCAGTGCGAACTAGCTGACATTTCCTTTCCAGAAAATGTAATTACATTTTACACATGACGAATCAACAAGGAGAAACGTATCAAACTGGACAACATATTAAACACATATTAGGCGACCTATTTTGACGCAAAATAACTACAATAGCTCTGAATTGCACGTTTTCCAGTTGAGTTTCGGACCGCAGCTAACCAGGCCCTGGCCACGGTTCTGAAGAAACCAGTATTCCACAGGACCAACAGCTAATGAGGCTAGTTTAAAACACGCACGCACGCTCAACACATGCTGGTTGGTGGCTTAATGAAATCCGTCCTTACCGTAGCCAGACAACGGTATAACTGTGTCCAACTCTGCATTTTGTCTGTGTCCCCCTCACAAGATCAGTAAGCTACAACAGGCCGACCAGCCAAGGACTCCTGTCATTGCGCATGCGCAGTACCACGGCTGTCCGTCGCATCTATATGACGTATACAATGAAACTATTGCGAATAAATTGATATTTGTAATCAGCATTATTTCCGTTCCACTCCACTAACATGCTGTGATGATTGTTTGTTGTGACGCTACTGCGCAAATTTTAGGTAGGCTACAAGAAGCAAAGTAAGGATGATTTTGAAAATAATTAGAATAATTAATTATTATTAAAAATAATTAGGCAACTTTTATTTTTCAGTTTACTTCATACAAAGTACAATAACATGAAAAACCTAAATTAAATCAGTTGTGATCAACCTATAAAGCAGCCTTTAAAACACACTACTACTGTGAGAGTCTGTGTATGTTTTGCTCCTGCTCCCAGTCTCAGCCCCACAGTAATATGTATATTGCATTATTGTCCAGGTTTTCCCCAATAATACAACTGCTTGCAGCAGACTTCAGCTCCACTATGTGTACATTAAGAAGAGACCTATTCCAGCCTCTGCTCCCTGCGCTCTCAGCAGAGCGCCGTGCGTCCCATTTCACAGCTGAGTCAGTATGTGCTTGTTGGTAACAATGTTATTTTGTATAAAAGCGGTACTTAAGTGTTTTATCATACAAGGTTTGAGTTTATGTGATCGTAGACACCGGTTGTTGGATTTTTGTGTGTGTGTGGCAGATTTCACATAATTAGGGTGTTGAACCAAACTCTGCTGAGGGTGGATGTTCTTCAGTCCAGAAATGTACAAACACAGGATCGATGGTAAACTGCTATTGAACCTAAGTTTCTGCTTGGTTACCCTGTCACATTGTGAGACTTTGGTTCTGACAGCAATGACAGCAAATTCCTGACACACTGACACAAACCTGCACTGTGCACATGGACTTCACGTCAGTGCAAGGCAGTGAGGTACTGTGGTAGCATTTCACCTGCTTCTCAGTAGAAAGAACAATTGATCAAGTCAGTAAATACAGAGCTGAGTGAGATCTAATAACCTTCTGCCCTGCTGTTGCTGGAGCACAGGTCCAGAGACAGACAGGCAGACAGGTGTATTGTACCTGTGTTGTGGCTCAGTGTCCTTGCACCTTGGAGAGGGCAGGGTTTGACCCAAGGCATCACAGTGAGCAGCTCCTGGGCTTGGATCTTCCCCTTCTGCCGGTGGTCGTACAGAGAGAAACACTCCCTGAACTCTGCAGCACACAGTTGTGGTAATTTCAGTTGGGACAACATGACACCGCCTCTCATTCGTTTAGCCTAACCATAATCAGCACTAACCTTACCGCAGGTCTTCACTCTAAATGTAATGCTTTACCTTGGGGGCTTGTTTTTGTCAACTAAAAGAACCCTGAAGGTTTTGGTGGCTTCGACTTTTGCCGTAGCACCAGCAGCAGGTAAACCTTTTGAAGCAGCCACTGAAGGGGCTGCTGCAGAACAGTGGGGTCCACAGAGGATGTCCTGCTGATTTAACACACCACATGATGACTCTGTTAAACTGAAAGTTAAGAATGAAAACAATCATTAGCTGCAGTCTGGCAGACTGCCACACAGCCAAGGCCAAGAGGCCGGTGGAAGATGAGGAATATGCTGGAGGATCCTGGCCGGGACTCCAGGTCCCTCCTTCTGCTGTTGGAGCTCAGCTGCTGTGACACATTCGTGGGCTCCTGAGGCTGACTCCTGCTGAGTTGGTGAGCCACTGAATTTTCCTCTAGCGCCACCATGAGGTCGACTGTAGGCAGGCTTCAATCCAAATATATGCTCCAGGGCCACAGTGTTTATCCAAGAGCATGTGAGTGTTTGATCATTTGTTCATTTCTTTGTGTGTGGATCCTGTTGTAACACCACTGTGCATCTTTTGATGAGGGCTTTCCCTCAGGAAGACATGAACCCTCTGAATGTTTGTGTCCTCACAACTACAGCTGCTGCTGCTCACAGGCAGTGACAGGGAGCGCGGTGCAAACCTTTTACACAGCTCAGTGTCAGACTGGGTGCACCGGAAGCAAAGTCACACTTACAGTATGAGCAGAAGCTCAGTTCTTCAGACATGTATGAAGGACATTATGAAGCTGCTGAACACCAGCTGTCCACTATCAGGCTCACTTCCCTTTGTTGTGTCATTTAATCCTAGGATGCCAAACAGTTTCCCGATTTTTCCAGGATCAATTATACATTTCTTGATTTGCTGATCACTGTCTTGTTGGAGTGCCAGTGTAGGTTCTCTGCAGGTTCACCAGCTTCCTCCCACAGTCCAAAAACATACAGCTTAGGTTGACTGGTGACTCTAAACTGCCCGTAGGAGTGAGTGTGGTTGTTTGTCTACATGTCAGCCTTGGGACAGATTGATGACCTGTTCAGGGTGGACACCGCCTCTCATCCAGTGTCAGCTGGGATTGGCTCCAGCCCCCCCGTGACCCTATTCAGGATAAGTGGTATAGATAATGGATGGATGGATGAATTTTGTACTCAAGTTATGCTACTCCCTGTCAATGTGTGATTATGTAAATAGATGTATACACTGCTCTCAGCTGCAACAACCACTGCACATCTACACTGTTCTGCTGTTTCCTGTCTGAAGGATTTCTCACTTATTACAATAGAAGGGAAGGAGATAACATGTTGAACTGAGGTGGAAAAAAGGTTTATGCTGTAAAAGAATAAATATACATGCATTGCATTAATTGGTGGCTAATCATTCTGCAGAAATACAAATAGAGTAACTGATGGACTGATTATCAGAGTGGTGGAGCTTTGACAAGGCTTTGATACAAGATAAGTTTGAACTCTGGTTTATTCTTGTTGTTTCTACAATGAAATGTACAGCAGAGAAAATCACACACACACATATAATAACTACAACAAGACACCAAAACAAAAGAGGCCAGTGGCAGATATGGCCACCCAAGCCCCACTGGGATTTAATATCATTGTATTCTCTTATATTCTACTTTCCATCTCTGCAGAATGTTTACCTTATAATAAACAGTGAATACAATTCAATGTGCTGCTGTGTTAAATGTATTTCTTCAACTTTAATTGAAATTAAAACTTCAATTTAAAACTTCAATTTAAGGTGCATAAGGTCAAACAAAACAAGAAAAGGTTGCAGGCATTTTAATTAGAGATGTGAACCTGCTGTTGGTGTGTGCTGACACAGCAGCCTGCAGGTCAGAGCCCACTGACAAGAGCTTTTGTATATGTTGTTAATCAGGATTTCTTTTTGAAAACTTGGGTACTCTTATCAACCCTTTGTGAACTATAGGCTTTTTCCCTCTTGATAAAATCTCTAACAATGCGAACTTCATTGTCCAGGTTCAGGTCACCCTGGGCTTTCCCATAATCAGGTACTGCATACTCCTGGACCCTGTTCACCTTGGGTTGAGGGAGCAACTTGTTCATCTCTTCATTGAGCTTCTCCTTCAGCCGAGCCACAGCTCTCACTACAGTCCCCTTATATGACAGTGGACCAACACTGACTCTTGTCCAGTCCTTGGTGGGTTGAGCAATGTTCAGCAATGAGAGACTCTGGATGAGGTGGTGGTGGTCTTCAGAGCGTGAGAGCTGCTCCACCTCCGAGCATTTCTTTTCCAGCTCAGAGATTTCCTGCTCCAGCTCTCTGATGAAGCCTTCAGCCTGTTTCTCTGTGGTTCTCTGCTTCTCTCTGATCGTCTCCCTGAGCTCAGCCAGGCCTCTCTCAACAGATTCCTTCAGAGCAGTGAAGACCTGAACACCTTCTGCTATCTCTCTGTCTGCATCTTTGTTACTGAGCTCCACTGAGTGTTTGATCTCCTGAATCTTCAGCCGTCTCCCCTGGATCATCTGCTGAATCGCAGCCTCAGTCTTCTCCAGCTCCACCTTCTTTCTTTCATACTCTTCTTTCAGAGGAACAACATCATGAGTCTTGTGGTCTAAAATGGTGCAGAGCATGCAGACACACATTTGGTCGGTCTGACAGAACAACTCCAGCAGCTTGTCGTGCTTCTTACACATCCTGTCTTCCAGGTTGTCCACAGGCTCGATCAGCTGATGTCTCTTCAGGCCTGACATTGCCAGATGAGGCTCCAGGTGAGTCTCACAGTAGGAGGCCAGACACACCAGGCAGGACTTCAGGGCCTTTACTTTGGTCCCAGTGCAGATGTCACAGGGAACTTCTCCTGTTTCAGCAGCTCTTTGCTCTGAGCAGCCTCTGCTGGCTTTCTGCTGAGCTGACTGTCTAAACTGAGCAGCCATCTCAGAGATGAAGGTGTTGACCTGCAGCTCAGGTCTTGTGTTATAAACACTGTTACAGTTGGGACAGTGACATGTGAGATTAACATCCCAGTACTGAGTGATGCAACTTTTGCAGAAGTTGTGTCCACATGGTATGGCCACCGGATCAGTGAACACATCCAGACAGATAGAGCACAGAAACTGGTCTTCAGTCAGCAGACAGCTAGCAGCAGACATGTCTACACACTGGGGACAAGACGGGGAAAAACAAAACTGTAATTACATGTTGTTTTGATTATTTGTTACATAAAATCACACTCTGACCAGTGGAATAGGAGGAGTCCTGAACCTGTCTATTGCACCAAGGGCCACATTTATAAAGAAAATGGCAAAACACAAACAAACGCTTTTGAATTTATTATGAATAGGATGCGAAATCTCACACTCAATTTTACCCTCACTTGTGAACAAGACCCCAAGTAGACCACTCAATCAAAGCTCCAACCCTCACCTTTGGTCATAAGCTGTGGGTAGTGACAGAAAGAATAAGATCAAGAATACAAGAGGCCAAAATGAGTTTCCTTCGTAGGGTGGCCGGATTTACCCTTAAAGATAAGGTGTGGAGCTCGGTCATCTGGACAGAACTCAGAGTGGAACTGCTGCTCCCTCACTTTGAAAGGAGCCAGCAGAGGTGGTTCAGGCATCTTATCAGGATGCCTCCAGGGCACCTCCCTTTGGGGGTCTTTTGGGCACATCCAAATGGTAGGAGACCCAGAACACACTGGAGAGATTATATGTCTCATCTGGCCTGGGAACGCCTCAGAATCCTGCCAGAAGAGCTGGACACATTGCCGGGTAGAGAGATGTCTGGGCTGTCTTACTGAACCTACTGCCACCATAAACCCACACCATATAAGCAGCAGAAAATGAATGGATAGACGATGCGAAATTACATCTGCACTATTTTTAGTCCTAGTCTTAACTAGAGACAAGCAACGATTTCAAATATTAGAATAGTCATCAAATTGAAAAACAAAACAAAAAAAAAAAAAAAAACATGATTATTTCATGTGACTATGGTTTTTAAAAACCAAGAGCCACTGTTCCATCCATCATTGATCTATACTTAATTTTGAGGAGTAAACAGTGTGCATACTGTTTTACACAGCACTACTCGCTTCCTGCCTCCTACCATTCTCGCCCCAGCCACCAGATGCCGCCATGTTTTCCCTCCATTTCTAGCCAGATACATAAATTTGCAAGAGCTGGGAGTAAATTCTGGGGGACATGAAGTGTATTTCAGGCCTTCCCTGTGTTAGGTATTTTTAGTCAGATAGACATTGGTCAGATACTTGTTTTATTAGAAATGTTTTAGAGTAGACAGGATGTCTAGCTTAGGCTGTTAAATGCTTACTCATTTTCATGAGTTACTGCAGGTTGCTTATGGTCAAGGATAACTAGATAGAAAAGTGGATGACTGTCAGCAGACAGGATGTTTAATTATTATTATGACGTGTATAACTGTAGCCATAGTCATAATATTTTTTATGTTTAATGTTAGGACATGTCACTAGAGGTCGTGTTAGAATGTTTTAGCTACACACCACTGTGGGTCTTTGGTTCTTGTTACCATTGCTAACTCTGAGAGACGAGACAGTCCAAGTAACTTCAAAACAGTGCTGATTTATTCAAAGGATCACAGGTAAAATTAACATTACACGCTCAGGTATCTTGCACCTCCAAACTGCTCAGCCTAAGCATTTAACAGTCTAACTAGACATCCTATCTCCACTAAACATTTCTAATACATAAAGTATCTATCCAATTTCTATCTGACTAAAAATACCTAACACCACAATCAACAGACATTCACACATTGATTTTCATCATGTTTTGGCTACAGCTCGGGCCAGCTGCAGCGCTGGCGCCGGGAGACGTCACGGTTTGGCGTCTCCTGTTAGCATGGGATTAGTCTGAGGTGATATAATGTATTAGGCCTGTTGGGTTCGGGGTCTCTTTATTTTTCAGCTGCCTGCGTGCATGTTGGAGGTGCAAGATACCTGACCGTGTAATGTTAATTTTTACCTGTGTTCAATGAATAAATCAGCACTGTTTTGAAGCTACTTGGCCTGCTTCGTCTCTCAGAGTTAGCGTGGTTAAAAGAACCGACTGCAACACCTGGTAGGCTGGTGGTTAAGGCGCAGCGCTCTCGCCGCGACGTCCCGGGTTCTGAATCCAGGTTGGGTCAGGAAGGGCAAGTGTAAGAAAACGTGCCAAATGTCAACATGCGAGTCGTCAGTGTTAAGATTTGCTGTGGCGACCCCTAAACGGGAAAAAGACGAAAGTGTCATTCATTCATGAAGTGTATTTCCCTATGAATATGTGTGTGCGCTTCCCCTAATGTTACTCTTATCCTCGACATTACCTTTTTAAACCTACTCGCCTGCCTTGAGTTTCTGCTTGTTTTTGCCTGAACCGTCTGTACATAACTCCCCATGAGTGCGTCTGCAAGGAGGAGAGACACACCCGACTAAAATGACATGGACACTGCCATTGCTGTGTCTGTTTGATAGGCTAAATGGGGGTGAACATGTTACATCTGCACCTTAAAACACAAACTGACACAGCAGCTGTAGTAACTCACGTCCTGAGAGTTTGCTTTGACAGATTTCATCAGTAGACAGAAACGCTGGAACTTCCTGTCAGAGGTTTTCTGTTAGTGCCAGATGTTGAATAAACATTATCAGCTGTACTCACCAGTGTTTGACAGAGTCTCTGCTGTGCTGCTCAGAAAAACCCACTGGCTTCAGTTTAGCTTTTCTTCTGAGACAGACTTTTTTTCACCTCCAGCTCCGACGTCACTCTGACAAACTTTCATTTCAGGAAAACAGACTGAAACTCTACTGCTCCGCCTATGTCAGGACTCTGTCCCTCCGGCTCCGGTCCCAGGCTTTTATTTTGGAAGTACTTCCGGTTTGGTTCACCACAGTTCTGGACTCTTTACATTATCAGCTGATATTGTTTCACCTGCATCTCATCACCCAGATTGGCAACACCTGCCACACTAGCACCTAAACAACTTCCCCACACCAGGAAGTTGCCAGATTGTTCTAGACCCCAGCTCTGACTTTCTAGCTTTCTTTCTCTGCCTGATTATCTTGTTCTGTTGACCACCGTGTTTTGCCTTATTCCCCCAGAATCTGATTGCCTGCTGTGTACCGACCTCTATCTCCTCCCTGATCTCTCTCTTGTGGACCTCCTGGCTGTTGATGTTTACCGGCGCTGACCTCGGACTGTATTATCGACCTGATTCTGATTCTGGACTTGTACTGTTGTTAGTAGTAAAGAAAGAAACCTATTCTCTACCTCTGTTCGTCTGGCTATATAATTGAGTTCAACACTAACATTATTTGGCAGTTTCACCCGCCAATCCTGACAGCCTATGAGGTTTCATGGTCTCTTTGGTTTTGTACCTCATTGGTACAATATGAGGTTTTACATTTATTTTCTGCAGTGGAAGCATACAGCAGCCAGAAGAGCAATTACAACACAACGAAAGAGGTCAGTGAGACCATGGTGCGTCGTCTGATCAACAGACCAGTGGTTCCCAAACTTTTTTTTACCATGACACCACTATAACCCAATATAACATGCATATACAGTATGTACACAGATGAATATTGTTTTTAACAGTCTTACATTTACATTTGTAACATGGGCCCGTTCTCACTCACTCAGAACAAAGGTCATTAGGTTCCTTGTTGGGTTGAGGAGGCTACAGAACACAGCACACATACTGTAGGTACTGGGATATAATACCAAAATCTAACATGAGACAGGCAACCGAACTGAATAACCTCTGACCACTAAACATGTTTTCCATTTGGTTTTAATTTATTCCAGTTACCAAAAGAGCAAGAAAAATCTGCTGGATTCTTTAAATATTTGTTGATCATTGGTGCCAATATCAAACACTTTCATAATCAGTTAGCAAAGGTTTGAATTCACCTCCTGAAATGTGACTTCTGCAAAATGTCTTCTCTTCACCGTGTTTTTAAGGATGTGAATGTACTTAATATAAAAGATCTGACTCCATGAAAAAACTAAATTACTGGAGGTTATTTGCAAAAAGGGACATAATAGAGTATAATCTAAAGAGAAACATTCAAAAGAAGGAAATATACAATGTTACATCAGATGAGAAAAAACTGTTTTGTTTGTAATATTTTTATGAATTTAAAAGTTCCTTGTTTGGTTTCTGTCATCGACACCAGACTTTGAGTGGATCCCCATGTGTTTGTCTTGTGGACATGCACAAAGACACAACTTCACATAGACAATGAGATTCACATTACTGCCAAATGGTTTCACACAATTCATTTGACCTATAGTCGGTCGTGTGCCAGGGAACACAGCAACACGTCAACAAACACAGAAGAGACTGGTAGTAAACAGGACTATAAACTGTTCTGAGGATGCAAAACCATTCAACACATTTGTTAGAGCTCAAGAACACACACAAGCATTTTGATGAGTGACACTCACAGTAAGCATAACTTGTGTTGTCTGAAAATAAAACTCCACCAGGAGCCTTTAACACCATCATTAGGACAGAGACTGAGGAATGGGTAGAGGGACTCAGTGAAGTGGCAGCCAGTAAAAGAGTAGATAAGAACTGCAGTAGCAGCATCATAAAAGGAGACCAGACCCTCCTCATAATCCACAAACACCCCCACCTTCCTCGGCGACGATTTCACAGAGAGACGGACGGATGGGTCAGAAGCTGCAAAATACCCTCCTATCTGCTTCGCACATACAGTCCAGTAACCATCTGTAGGGCTCAGTGTGATTTCTCTGGTCGTGTTGAAGTGTTTGGTCACACCTACAGTCCATGTAGGCCACATTTCAACCTTAACCTCGAAGTAAACTCTTCCATAAGAGACATCACTGTTGGATAAGACACATCTACAGTCATGTCTTTTATTTGCCTGTTGTCCATAGGGACCAAACACCATATCCACTGCATACTGCTGCACCCTCTTCAGTTCGGCCTCAAACAGAGTCTTCATCTCTTCACTGAGCATCTCGTCCAACCGAGCCACAGCTCTCACTACAGTCCCCTCATACGACGGAGGATGGACCCTGACTCCTGTCCAGTCCTTGGTGGGTGGAGCAGTATTCAGTGATGAGAGACTCTGGATGAGGTGGAGGTGGTCTTCAGACCATGAGAGCTGTTCCACCTGCAAGCTTCTCTTTTCCAGCTCAGAGATTTCCTGCTCCAGCTCTCTGATGAAGCCTTCAGCCTGTTTCTCTGTGGTTCTCTGCTTCTCTCTGATCGTCTCCCTGAGCTCAGCCAGGCCTCTCTCAACAGATTCCTTCAGAGCAGTGAAGACCTGAACACCTTCTGCTATCTCTCTGTCTGCATCTTTGTTACTGAGCTCCACTGAGCGTTTGATCTCCTGAATCTTCAGCCGTCTCCCCTGGACCATCTGCTGAATCTCAGCCTCCTGTTCGGTCTGACAGAACAACTCCAGCAGCTTGTCGTGCTTCTTACACATCCTGTCTTCCAGGTTGTCCACAGGCTCGATCAGCTGATGTCTCTTCAGGCCTGACATTGCCAGATGAGGCTCCAGGTGAGTCTCACAGTAGGAGGCCAGACACACCAGGCAGGACTTCAGGGCCTTTACTTTGGTCCCAGTGCAGATGTCACAGGGAACTTCTCCTGTTTCAGCAGCTCTTTGCTCTGAGCAGCCTCTGCTGGCTTTCTGCTGAGCTGACTGTCTAAACTGAGCAGCCATCTCAGAGATGAAGGTGTTGACCTGCAGCTCAGGTCTTGTGTTATAAACACTGTTACAGTTGGGACAGTGACATGTGAGATTAACATCCCAGTACTGAGTGATGCAACTTTTGCAGAAGTTGTGTCCACATGGTATGGCCACCGGATCAGTGAACACATCCAGACAGATAGAGCACAGAAACTGGTCTTCAGTCAGCAGACAGCTAGCGGCAGACATGTCTACACACTGGGGACAAGACGGGGAAAAACAAAACTGTAATTACATGTTGTTTTGATTATTTGTTACATAAAATCACACTCTGACCAGTGGAATAGGAGGAGAGTCCTCCTTTAGTTTAATTGGCAAAATGTTACAGGAAGCTGCAGTCAGGACAGACAGTTTAGGATTTTGCTAGCTGTCAACAATTACGCTTTCCTCAAGACCTCTTAGGACCCCGGCTGCCCCTTACCTGCCTGTGTGTTTCTTTCCAAGCCTAAATTCCTTTCTATTTTCAGATGCTAGTGAATTAACAAACTAGTGTGCTTAAGTCCTGTGCCCCACAATGCGATTAGTATTAGTAATTTGTACTAGTATTTTTACATTGTGTACATTTTATTTAAACCTATATTTGTTATTTGGCCACTTGGGGGTGTTAGGTATTTTTAGTCAGATAGAAATTAGATAGATACTTTATGTATTAGAAATGTTTAGTGGAGATAGGATGTCTAGTTAGACTGTTAAATGCTTAGTCATGCTTATGAGTTTCTACAGGGTACATCTGGTCAAGGATAACCAGAGAGAAAAGTTGATGACTGTCAGCAGACAGGGTGTTTAATATTATTATTATGACATGTATAACTGTAGCCTTAGCCATAATATGTTCTTATGTTTAAGACACGACGTCGTGTGAGAATGTTTTTAGCTACACAACACTTAATCAACAGACACACACACGTTGATTTGCTTCATGCTTTAACTACTGCTACGGCCAGCTGCAGAGCTGGCAACATTCATGGAATAAATCAGCACTGTTTTGTAGTTACTTGGACTGTCTCGTCTCTCAGAGTCAGTATGGTAAAAAGTACCGGGTACAACAGGGGTAGTACAAGTTGTAAACACAATAGGTTAAATACCCCCTATACCAGGGCTTCTCAAGCTTTTGAAACTTAAGGCCCATTTTTGATTATTAAAAAAATTCAAACAAAAATCAACAACAACAAAATAATGCATTCAGTTTATGTACTGCATTCAGGGTCATATTTCTTCACCACACTCTCTGGAGCTTTTACTGGTGCAGGGTTGTCTCCCACACCAGCTTTTCAACCAGTTCATTGTATGTCACTTTGAGCAAACGTTGGCCTGCTAGATAACAGCAGTATAACAGGTTTGTCACTTCCTGACAAATGTGGTGATATCCAAACCTAACTGGCCACTGAAAGTCTGCATTCTGACTTTTTTTATTTATCTGAATTCTTGAGCACATTTAGTAAATACCTAGCTTTGTAAGTTACACAATAATAATAAGTAATCATTTTAATCTCACCCTTTGCAGTCCTACTCTGTGGCCCAACAGATGGTACTCTGGCTGCCCTGACCCCAACCTTACCATTACCTCTGCCTACGCCTCTTGGGATCTAATGTTTACCATTTCCAGCTAACCGATTCTTTCCTGCCCACCCACTGATGTATTCATCATCCACCCATTAATGTTGTTGACACTTTGGACACAGTAACGTTGCCGTCGACTCTTTGTGCTGTGTGTTGTTACTGGTAGAGTACAGTTGGCAAATAAAGCTGCCAGGCAGCATATTGTTAGTATACACCCATTTCCACCTGCACCTCACCAGAATGTTCGTGTTTTAGTTTCACTGAGGCCTCTAGCTTGCCTACCAGCCTTTTACCTGTTTGTCTTCCTCTGCTCGTTTATAGATGTCCCCTGTTCCTTTTGCAGCCTGTCTTGTCCTTCTGAATGTTTGCCTGGACTATCACTGTTCACTTTCAAGTCACCTGCTTCCCTGTACAAATGTGAGTCACCCCCATGAGAGAAGTACATGTATGAAACACTCACTGAAATGACAGACTCAGACGTTTCACCGGTAGTTCTGTTTGCTAAACACACCAGTGTGTTTGAGTCTGAATGTGCAAAAATCAGCATAGACCTATGTTAGGTTATTTCCTAGTTAGATAGATATTCAGAGACTTGTTGTCTAGAAATGTTAGTGGAGACAGATTGACTAGCTCAGGCTGTTAACTGTTCAGTAATGTGCTTGCAGTGCAGACTGCAGGCAGGTCAAGGTTACAGGCAAAGAGCTGTTAGTGTCAACTGTAATGCTAGTCTTAATATTTGTCTTAATGTGTAAGGTTATGTCCAATTGTTTTAGATACACACCACGAAAACAACAGCCACACACCTTGACTTTTCCTCATGTTTTGGCTAACGTTATAGTCAGCTGCAAGCTGGCTTATCAGGTGACGTCACGGTATGATGCCCTGCGTAGCATGGGCTAGCCCAAAATGATTAAGATTATATAGGTTTCTTGGTCCAGAAATCTTGATCTTTCTGCTGCCTGCGCGCAGGTAGAGGGTGAGAGAGAGATCTGGACGTGTAATGTAAATTTTACCTGTGGTCCTCTGAATAAACCAGCACGGTTATTTTTTATAAAATCTAAAGCTGTCTATCTCGTCTTATTGTGAGTTCCTGGTTCAAAAGAGCCGGAAGAGGCTTCATAGAGAAAGAGAAGCTTATACCTAGTAAATCTGGTCCTAAGGGTTTGATGTGACAGATCAACAAATAGAAACAGTGGAAGTTTGGTCTTAGTTGTTAAAACAGCTGTACTCACCAGTGTCTGGCAGAGAATCTGCTGTGCTGTTGACAAAAGCCTGATTACAGAGAAACAGACACCCGCCCCCTGTACACTTTCAGTTTCATTCTAGGAAATGTGACGTTGAAGCTCTCTTCACATTTCAGTGTTGCTCTGTCAGTGAGGTGAAAAAACTTAGAAAAAATCAACTAGATTTCTAGGTCGAAGACGTTTCACCTCTCATCCAAGAGGCTTCATCAGTTCTGCCCGACTGGCGTTGAGTCAGAGATATTTATTCCCCTCTGTGGTGTTTCAGTCCTTTGAAGGCCAACAATGTCCCCTACCAACTGAGTCGTTGCAGCCCAGTATCGGTGACAGTCGTTACCTGTCTTTGAATCCTCCCCTGTGGACCGACGCCTATTGTCCTGGTGGATGTTTGGGCAGAGATCTCAAAACAGGATTGTAGATGGATGACAAGTTGTGTCTTAGTCCACCACCCGTATTTAGTGAGGGGTGTTCTAGTTGGACAAGAATAGCTTCCTTAATTCCTCTCTCAAACCAGCGATGTTCTCTGGAGAGGATCTGGACTTCACTGTCCTCAAAAGAATGTCCTTTGTCCTTCAG